CGCGACGGCAGCGTTCGGGTCCAGGGCCGAGGAGTGGGGGGCGAGCCCCGTGCGGCCAGGCGGGGAGAGCGGGCCGGGCCGGGCCGGGGCCTCTGGGGCCGGTGACGCGCGTCAGAGCCGGGGCCGCGGAGTCAGGGCTGAGGCGCCGTCACGGGGGCTGGATCCCGCAGCCGCCCGGCCCTGCTGTAGGGGAAGGCCGCGGGCGGGCGGGTGACTCCCTCCCTCGGGGTTTCTCACGGTTTTCAGCCAGTTACGTGATTTTCTTGCGACAAGCCCCGGGTTAGGCCGGGGGGCGCGGAGGAGGGAACGGGCGCCAGAGCTCGGCTTCTCCTCTCCCCTTTCCGTGCCCACTGCGTCCCCCCGGGGTCTGCTTTTGGTGGGGGGCTCCTTACCCCGAGCCAGCCCCAGGCACCTTCACCCCGGTCCAGCAGAGGAAGCCGTGCTGCTCTCTGAAGTTATCACCCTGAGTTTGCGAGAGAAAACAGACAACACAACACACACACGGAAGAGGGATGCCTGAAGCAGTGGGGATCCTGCTTGCTGCAGACAGTCAACAAGGCAAAACTGGGAAAAGGATTTATTCCAGAAAAAATAAGGTATACAGGCAAAGATGGCTGTAGTTGGAGAGACAGTTAAGAGGAAGATAGATCAAAAATACAAGTTCTCCCCTGTTTCTTTGCTGTGACCTTTCACTTCCGATTCTGCTCCGTGTGTTGTCCGTTTATTCTGTCTCGTCCTGTTGGCGCTGTATTGCCTCCTGGGACAGGAGTCATGCTGGTTTGTACGGTGATCTGCACTGCTGGTCTGTACAGTGCCAAACACAATAGGATGAGGGCTATTTATTGGGATCCTTAAATACCACTAGAGAGCAAAAAATAGTACTGGATTTTAGAAGCAAGTTATTAGGTGTTACATTTGGCAGCGCACACCTGGACAGTGATGATGTATAGATGGTGAAGTGAGTTGTATGCAAGGAAATAAAGTGGGTTTCTCTAATTCCGTCCTATCATTTTAGACTCTTAAGGTGCAAAAATGTCTAAGGATTTAATCTAGTTTTTATACGTTGGTTACAAAGCAAACAATGTAAGTGGAGGGGCAGGGCAAAGAGACAGGTATAGATGGATGAAAATGAAGTAAAGGAGACTGACAGGAGAAGCTTGTGTCACTTGTGGTGGATAAGTGAAACAGACGGGGTGATTAAATGAAGAATCTAGCTGTAGCTATTCCTTTAGTTCATATATATTAATAGTCTCCTTGTTGGCTTTAAAAATTATTCAGAATATATTTCTGAATCAGATATATATTTTTACCTGCCTTATCAGCTTAGCATTTCTAACAGTTGTGTTTTCAAGCCAGTAGAGTTGTCATGGGTTTTAATATCTTCAAGAATGCTTAATGACCACTTGTAATGTTGTAAGTCTCTTTCGTTCTTCCCAGACTCTGTTCTTAGCTATTCCTTCCTGCTTTTTATAAGAAAACATAAGAACGTAACACTACCATGAATGATATAAAAATTATGAAAATGTACTTTTCAATCTTTTCCTCACTTAGAATAGGGTGATTAATAATTCGCAGCCTGTACCTGTTGCGTTTCTTACTCTTTCTATAAGAAAGAACACTATTAATGAGAGTTGAATAAGTACTGTTCTATCCCTGTTGAAGTCCTGAAGATGCTTTGATCTTTTCATTTTCTCTTGAGACTTGTGACTATTGTACTTGCATCAGTGAGAGAAAGCAAGAGAGGTCTAAACCCCAGACCTTCCTGAATGACACTGTTGTGTATTGGGTGGGAAAAGGCTACCTTTTATTTATATATTTGCCTTTATATGTATATGTCTATAGTATACTTTATATATAGTATATATAAAGGCTATAGTAACGTGTGTGTGTGTACACATATACACTGATGCCCTGCAGCTTGTTCTGCTACTTCAGAAAATGAAACTGGGATTTGAACCAAGATTTCCTGAATGTATCACAAAACTGTATTTTTACTTTTGTTTGACATACGGGATAGGTGGAGCTTATTTATCTAAAGTCAATGTGATAACGGTTTTGTTGCTGTTTGTCTTTCTTGCATTGCTGTTTACTGCTGGTTTTTTGTGTTTTTTTTTTTTAGTGTTGGTACTAGGCTTTGAGGAAAAGATTCTCCTTCAGCCGGAAAGTATACTAAGGAATCCTAACTTTTCCCAAAGCATTTTCTTATTAAGATGCTCAAGAAAAGCACACCAGTTTCATTTTTTCCTTCAGAGGTGTATATGCTTTCCATAAAGTAATAGCTGGGAAGGCCAAGTCTATAGTTGGAGAAGGCAGAATCTTAGCAAGTGTGTTACAGCTGTTAATTCTGGTTTGTGTTGCCTCCATCCTTCATACCATCCAGTGTGAAAGTTAATGGCTGTGTTAAACTCAGAATTATTGTATAGTAAACAAACTATAACAGTGACACCCATTTTGGCCCTGTGGGCTGGATGAGCTGGCATACAGACCAGCCCCATGCCAGTTTTGTGCGGGATCAAGTCCCTTGTGGAGGGCTGGCATATGGTCATATCTGGCACATCAGGATCCAGCTGCATACCTGCATAGTCCAGCATCCCCAGATCTGGTGCTGTGTGCACGCTGGCTAGGCCCCACACACACATGCCATCTTGCGTATAGGGTTATTGTCTGGCCCATGGTGCTTCCCAGGGGGTGAGGGGGCTGGAAGGAGAAGGGACGACTTACCCAGTGCTGCGGTGTGGGAGGAGCTGTCTGCTCAAGCAGCTGCTGGCAAGAGAGCAGCTGCCACCCACCCCTTGCTGCTGATTGGCTGTGAGGTCTGCCATTCATATGACACCACCCCTTCACCAGTGGGGCAGGGCCAGATGACAGGCCACCCTCACAGCCAGTCAGCTGCTTAGTTTTCACTTGCTAAGTTACTGCTTCTGTATAAACAATTGTTGTAGTTTTTAAGTATGTTTTAGTAATGTCTGGACTGTAAACTGACCCTCATGCTTTCACGTTTAATTTAATCTTTCCTCCAAATATAAACTAATTTTAATAAATAAATTCCTTGAACTGTGTGATTATACCATGATTCTAAGGACCCAGTTATTGGTCAGCTCTGCATATACGTCTAGTCTTTTCTCATATATATTTTAGGGAAAAAATACTGACTTATAATTGGAGCAATGTAGTAATTTGTGAGTAGGAGAGAGAAGCTCCATTGTCAGCATTTAAAACCCTAATTATAGATCCATGTTTCTGACAAACCTTCAGCATTTATCTTTGAGTATTACAGTTTAGAAAAGTAGAAAGCAGTTTTATGATAGATATCTCACTAAAAGACAGTTTTATACTCCATTGTTTGTGTAGGCAGAGCTCATTCCCTATACCACGTTGCTTGCTTTGTTGTTTTTTTCCCCTTAATTTCCCTATGTACTGTCCTCTTATTGTCTCATCCTTCTATTGTCTCATCCTGCTATTTTGCAGGTACTGTCTGCAGTCCCCCTTCTACAAGGGCCCTGCGTCCACCAGTTTCATTCTATCCCAGTGTCTCTGTTTGACATTCTTTTTTTTCCTTTTTCTTCTGTTGGGGAGGCAGAATCAGGGTGTGTTAGGGTTACATCCAGATAAATGGCAATACCATCTAGGTAAGTGAAGGACATGGCTTCAGTTTGCTACTTAAAGGCTAAACCATGTTCACAACCTTTGACTTAATTCAGAAAATATGTATATATCCATATCTGTCTATAATTGCTGAACTCATTAAATCGCCCCTTTCCGACAAAAGATTGATCATGATGATGTGCCTATCACTTACAAATGACTGTTCATGGTTGGACCTGTCCACTACCCATTGAAGTCAACAGAAAGTCTCCTATCTTTATTGCGCGCTGAATTGAGTTCCCTACACATGTCCCTTGGAAACCTTCTTGTCACTGAATGTTGATTTTTGTTTATACTGAATTTTTCTTAACCATAAAGCTTCATTGATGACTTATTTTGATGAACATTGGGTTCATCTTGATTTTTAAGACACAGCACACAAAAATAACAATTATTTAAAAGTAGCAATATCCAGAGATGTGGGTTTGCTGGAAATTTTTCCAATGCCCTAAATAGAGTATGATCTGATTTAGCATGTTTATTTACCCACCTGTTTATTTGTGTATTTACCCTCCTATACAAATCAATAAAACACATGTGTTTACACACTTCTAGGAATAATTACCTGAAAAACATTAATTACAACTTTAAAACTGCTAAGCTTGCCTAATATTGTATTGGCATCTATTCATTGTTACTAATGAATTTTATGAAATACTGAATTTTTAGAAATGGAAAATTTCCCATGGAAAAATAAAGCACTGGAAAATTTTCAATCCCACGGCTCTCATAGCATCAGGCTGAAAATACCACCACATCTTGTATCCCCTGCTATTATGTGAACTTTCCCCTCTACTTGTTATAATAACACTTGTCTCATACTAGTCTTAAAGCTGCTCGTATGCCTACTAACATTTTCATCTTGTTGCACAAGAGGTATTTGTGGACTTTGCTCTAGGAGCTTGTTGCAATATAGCATTTGGTAAATAGAAAATAATAGAATTAGAAGGAAAATAATTTTGTTTTTTACAGTTCTCATAGAAACAAAATATGCACTTAAATGCAGTGACTTGGAACTGCTGCTTCATGAAATTGATTTTAAATGAAACATGGAATATTAAAATAAAGTATATGCTGTCAAATATAGAATAATGAATGAATGTATTTTTCTCAGTACACTAACTGTTAAACAAATTTAG